GGGCTTGTGTTGGAGAATGTTCAGTATACCAGAAAGCGTTGCCAAAATGGTTGATAGCCCCAAAATAAACAATAAATATATTTCACATTTATGTAACAAAGCCATTACTAATTAATTCATTTCAGTTGTAGGCTTCACCCAAATGAGAATATATTCAAATAGCAACTGTAATGATACATTGTCAGGAGGCTAAGAGCCGACAAGCATTAATGCCAGTAATTCCCTTAAAGCAATATTTGTATATACACATTTTCACCTTCCTCACAGCATCATAAAGGCAGAGTTAGGTTAAACAGGAATAGGACTGAAGAATTTAATATTAGTAATTTATATGAATGTTTCTTTTGCTGCATCTTGTGGCTGGTGTCTAGTGCAGATACAAGGCCAAAAGGGCCAGTCTACAGAAATAAAAGATTTGGGATTTCATTGGTGAACCTCAAGCCTCTGGGAACAGGGGAAATCTGAAGTCTTCCCAGACCAAGGTCCCTTTGGTACCTTCTGTTCCCTTCACAGGGGGCAGGATGAGAGGATTCCGCAAAGTGAGCTGAATCCTGGGGTAAGCTGAGGAGCGTCAACCCTGATTTATGGGCTATATGATGGGAACTCTGCAATGGGCCTACTTAAACGCCTGGTATGGGGAGATAGCCCCCCTTCCCAGTGTTATCTGCCCTAAGTTATGGCCTCCCGCTTAAATCCATCTCTGAGTCCGTCCCCATTCACCTGCATGTCCTGATCAACGGACCCGGTCTCTGTTCCAGCTCTCACAGCAGCTTTACTGGAGGAGCATACCGAGAAGGAGACAGCAATATAAGTAGCACATGGGAAGCAGCAGCATGGTCTGGTGGACTGAGCATGGGGAGGGAAAGGAAGCTGTCCTGAGTTCTTTCCGAGCTGTACTGTTGACTCACTGCACAGCCTTTACCAAGTCCTTTACACTTACATTTTCAAAAAAGATCAATGATTGTGGGGGTCTCAGATTCTGGGTACCCAACTGGATGGACCCAAACCCTGTGACCACTTTTGAAAATGTTATTACTATTTGTATTATTATAGCACCTTTGAGCCACAGTCTAGACCAGGATCCTATTGTACTAGGCACTGTACAAACATAGAACAAAAAGCCAGTCTCTACCCCCAAAGAGCTTACAATCCAAGGGCATGTCTACACTACAGAGTTTTGTCGACAAAAGTCAGCTTTCATTAATAAAACAAGTGGATGTGCAATGCTCCTCCCTCCAATTAAACTCTCCTGCTACGCCAACATAATTAAACCACCTGGACGAGAGGCATAGAGATTTTTGCAATAAAGTTAGAGTGACACAGTGCCAGTGTAGACACTGTGTTCCTTATGTTGCCCTAAGAGGCCTCCAGGAGGTGTCCCACAATGCACATCATTTGAACTCCGCTGCCCTGCAGTCAGCTACACAGGCATGTGCCCTTCTTCCTTTAAAGGCCTGGGAATTTTTGAAATTCCACTTCCTGTTTACTTGGCATGTACAACTCACATCGCATCTTCCTAGCTGACCATGGCAGCTCCCCGCAGCAAATGCGCTCCTGCCTGGAGTACACTGGAGTTGTTGGATCTTCTGGGTCTGTCGGGAGAGGAGGCCATGCAGTCGCAGCTCTGCTCCAGCCATAGGAACTTTGATAGCACTAGGCAGCTTGGTCATGGCATAGTAGAGAAGGGACACGAAAGGGACATGCAGTAGTGCTGTGCCAAGATCAAGGAGCTGAGGCAGGTGTACCAGAAGGCAAGGGAGGCCAATCATCGCTCTGTGCATCGCCAAAGACATACCACTTCTACAAAGGGCTGCACGCCATCCTTGGTGCCAACCCCACCTCCACCACCAAGAGCCCCGTGGACATTTGAGGGAGGGGCCTGGAGGAAGCAGCCAGCAGAGTGAACCCCAAGGACGAAGTGGTGTACAAGGAAGTGGAGCTGGAGGAGGATGGGGGACAGGTGACAGGGATGTCCGGTGGCAAGCCCGGACCTCTTTTTAACTACGGAGGGGTCTAGCCAGTCCCAGCACTCCAGCCCTGGCACGCCTGATGCATGAGAGAAGAACTCCAGTAAATATTCATGCTTTAATACTGCAGGAAAACAAGAGGTAGAACTCTGCTTTTTCCTTTGTTCCAGGGTAGGAGAGGAATAGAAATAACCCATGCTACCACTGTTTGCATCAGCTTCTCATTCCCCTGTGCAGCTATGCAGAGGCAACCCTGTGGAAAACATTGTTGATGCACACCGGGATGTGCAGGGAATCCTCCATAGAGATCTCTAAGAAACTTTCCTGGAGGTACTCTGCAATTCTCTGCTGAAGGCTCCTTGGAAGGGCTGCCTTGTTCCTTTCCCCTGCAGTAGGAAAGTTTGTCACACCAATCAGCAATTACATCTGCAGGCACCGTAGCAGCATATAGGCAAGCAATATACAGACCCAGTCTGTAGCTGCAAACATGCAGGAGCTGCCCCCTTGCATCCTTGGTTACCCTCAGGAGCATGATATCAGCTGCTATCACCCCGCCTATGGAAAACGGTGCCAGTATTCAGAATAGTGGCCCCTGGGTACTTGTATTGAAACCCCTGTGAACCCCCCCCAATCCTTTCTCCCATCTTGTCCTCCCCAGCCCAGGCAAACTCACCATGGTTAGGGCTCTTGTAGTGCTGTGTGCGTGCCAAGGGAAAGTTAGAAAGTGGTGTATCAAACATGTTTGAATCAAAGCTGAGACGGCACTCAAAACAGTGTCTCCGTTTATTGTTTCTTTAGCTTCTACAGATGAGCCCTTGAGGGTTTGCTCTTGCACACCAGATGAGCAGCTCCAATTGATAAGGAGACAAACAAGCAGGAACAAGGAAGACATGTTCAGGGAGGTGTTACATTCGTCTGATGCAGCTGATAGCGAACAGAGAGCATGGAGAGAGACTATAAAAGAAAGACTGAGCATGGATAGCCAGGAATGAAAACAGGGATGTTACAGGGGCAGGAGCGGATGATACAGCTTCTGGAAGGCCAAACAGGCATGCTGAAGCCCTGATTGCACTGAAAGCAGAACACATCCATGCTCACACACCCCTGCAGCCCATACAGTCCATGTCCTCCCCAACCCCCACACACATTCCTTGCATGTTCCCAGGCTGTCCCAGTAACCCACGCACTCCACCCCTAGGGACATGTTTCAGAATGACAGCTGGACATACACCCAGCTGTGAGGGCCTCATTTCAAAACATGCTCTTAACTGTCATGTCCCTTTTAGAAAACAGAAACGTTTGTATTGTTGATGAATAAAAATGTACTTATGGGGAAAAAATTTATTTGTCTAAAAATCACGGTGGTTGCTGCTGAAATTCATACACAGTGGCAATCAGTGCATTTGCAGAGTACAGTGAATGAACACACAGCAATCATTACAAAGTCAGGCTCTGGTGCAAGAAAGCAATACCTGGCTCAAAGCATTACAGAAACACACATTACTGGACCTCATTGTCAAAACGCTCCTTCAAAGCCTCCCTTATTCAAATAGCTCCCCATTGTGCCCCTCTAACAGTCCTGGTATCTGGCTGCTCAAAAGCAGCTACTAGCCGATCCACCTCAACGTTCCACGCCCCTGGGGAAACTTTTCCCCCTAGCTTCACAAATGTCATGCAGAACAGAGTAGGCTGCTATGACCATGGGAATATTTTCCTCACTGAGGTCCAACCTGCCAAAAAGGCAGCAATAGTGACCCTTTAATCTGCCAATGGCACATTCAACAGTCCTTCTGCACCTGCTAAGCCTGTTGTTGAAGTGCTCCTTGCTGCTCTTAAGTTTCTGGCGTAAGGCTTCATGAGCCACGGGAGCAAGGGGTAGGCCGAGTCTCCCAGGATTACAATTGGCATTTCCACATCCCCAATTGTAAACTTCTGGTCTGGAAACAAAGTCCCTGCTTGCAGCTTTCTATACAGGCCAGTATTCCTGGAGATGTCATGCACCTTACCTGACCACCCCGCATTGATGTCCGTGAAATGACCCCAGTGATCCACTGGCGCTTGCAATACCATAGGAATGGTCAATGTGCTGTGTCACAAGGTGATCTGGGGCCTAAATGGGGATGTGTGTGCCCTCTATCGCCCCACCGCAGTTAGAAAATCCATTGCTGCAAAGCCATCCACTATTTCTTGCACATTGCCCAGAGTCACAGTCCTTCATAGCAGGAGGCAATTAATGGCCCTGCAAACTGGCATGATTGCAAGCCCCACAGTGGACTTCCCAATTCCAAACTGATTTGTGACTGATTGGGAGCAGTACGTAGTTGCAAGCTTCCACACTTCTCCACTGTGAGGACAGCTCTCAATTTGGTGTCCCTGTGCCGGAGGGCAGGTGCGAGCTCCACACACAGTTCCAGGAACATGGCTTTGCGCATCTGAAAATTCTGAAGCCACTGCTCATCATCCCATACCTGCATCACAATGCAATCCCAGCACTCCGTGCTTGTTTCGCAAGCCCAGAACCGACGGTCCACCACGTGGAGCTGCTCTGTGAATGCCAAAAGCAACCTTGAATTGTTTCTTTCCATGGAAGAGAAACAATTCAAACTAGCATTGTTTCCCACTATCCAATAACAATTAACGGCAGATCAACTACACAACAAGACTGCCTCCTCCTTTGTTTTCTAGGGCTACTTGGTGGATCATGTGATGGATGTAGTGACAGCTTTTCCTTGCTACACTTAGAATCCTCTGACATCATCTCCAGTAAAGAAGTTAGTACAGCCTAAGCACAATGCACGATTAGAGATATCTTACAATGATCTTACAATGTAATGGAAGGGAAATCATTCATATAGTGATAATAAGTGATACAACAACCTGTTCCTAAGTCTATAAACAGCTGGCATATTCCCTATGCTACCACTTTCTCCTCAACAGCAGCAATGAGACAACATATCAACATTAAAACACAAATAACTCAGTTGGTGAATTTGACTCCAATTAGATATAAGGATCTCCAGGGAAATACGGTACCTCTGTGTCATTAGTGTTCAGTCCATGTCTTATAATAATAGACAATCCTCTGTATCTTCAGTCTTCACTCTGAACTAGATTGCTCTATCCTCCCATCTTGTATTATGCCCGTTTTTTCTGCTTTCAAATGTACTTCTATGTTCCTCCTTATGTTGACCATAACAATTACATTTCCTGCAACTGTGTCATCATGTTAAAGAATCAGCTGTTTTTAAATGACTGACAGCACACAAGTCTCTATCTTTGTAATCAGCAGCTTTGCCGGTTGTCCCTGTGTTATTTCTGCAGCTGTTTGAGGATCACATAGTTTCCTATTCTCACAATACAACATTAGAGTTTTCGTTACCAGGCCCTCTTCACACTTGCTTTCATCCTTCTAAACTTGCCAACTGACTGTCCAGTCACCTATAGTTTATCCATTAGTCTCTATAGAAGGGAGAGACAATTATTTTTGTCAAGGTCCAGACTCCACAGAAAATATTAAAAAAATAAAGCATTAGCAATTGCTAACTTCGTATCTTAATTTAGAGAGCTAAATTGATGTAAGCAGCTGTAAACTGATTTAAATGTGTCCACAATGGGGTTTGTACTAGTTCAGCAGTTCTCAAACTTTAGCAACCTGAGGGCCCCCATTTTGATTTAAAATTTTTCGTGGACCCCAAGCCAGCTTCTAATTTTCCCCAGGGGTGCTCAACCCCAGCTCAGCCCCAGGCCCCGCCCCCACTCCACCCCTTCCCCCAAGGCCCCACACTTGCCCCACCCCTACTCTACCCCTGCCCCTCCTCTTCCCCGCCTCTTTCCACCCCTTCCCCGAGCACACCCCATCCCCACTCCTCCCCCTCTGTCCCAGTGCCTCCTGCACGCTGCTAAACAGCTGTTCCGTGACATGTAGGAGGCACTGAGGGGGAGGGGGAGGAGTTAATCATCAGGGACGATGGCCCCGGACATGATTTGTGGATCCCCTGGAGTCGGACATGACTCACGGACCCCCCAGAGTATCCTCGCAGACCCCAGGGGTCCGCAGACCCCAGTTAGAGAACCACTGTCCGAGATCAATTTAAAAATTGGATTTTAGTTACATTGGTACAACTTCTGTGTTTAAATAAGGCCTTAGAACAAACATATTAAGCTACATTTTGCTGGAAGTGTTTGTTCATGAAAAAAGATGCTTAGTGAAAGTACAGTTCTATGTTTCAATCAACCTGACTGAAACAGGATGAACACCTTATAGGAAGAATCCTCCATTGGGATAGACAGATGAATGGACAGACAGACACAGACAGACAGACAAGATAAATACACAAAGATTTAACATCCTTGCCATTCACCACAATCTGGTACATTACAAAGGAATGTTTCTGCTTTGCAAAAGTATTTTTATGAGCCCCATGTATATGTCCGCTCCAGCAGATGTGATTTAACTGTATCCTGAGAGCTCTGTCAGAAGCCAGAAAATCACAAATCTTCCCTTCAATGCAGTAGTGGAATTTTAACTAGGGGCTGCATCACTGCTCTAGGCCAAATGAATCTCCAGTGTATTGCCACTTAAATGGATTGAATTATGCCAGGGATGAATTTGGCTCACTATGTTTTCTAATATTAACCAAAGGGGAAAACTTTCATGAGTGCCTAAAAAGCTCTTCATTTCTTCTTTTTGGCCAAAAAGTACCTTGACACATACATTAGTTTGCAGAACTCCTATAAAAAGAGCTGCTCTCTAGAATTCTGAAAGAAAACTATAGCACATTCCATTGCAACACACAAAAGTCACTGCTAAGTACAGTATAAATCAGTGGTTCTCAACCAGGGGTACATGTACCTCTGGGGGTATGCAGAGGTCTTCCGGGGGTACATCAACTCATCTAAATAAGGCTACATAAAAAGCACTAGCAAAGTCAGTACAAACTAAATTTCATATAGACAAACTGCTCTATATACTATACACTGAAATGTAAGTCTATACTTTTATATATATATATAAAAATGTAAGTATATATACATACACACATATATGTTCCAATTGATTAATTTTATAATGATAAGGTAAAAATGAGAACGTACGCAATTTTGCAGTAATAGTCTGCTGTGACTTGTGTATTTTTATGTCTGATTTTTGTAAGCAAGTAGTTTTTAAGTAAGTTGAAACTTGAGGTACGCAAGACAATCAGACTCCTGAAAGGGGTACAGTAGCCTGGAAAGGTTGAGAGCCCCTGGTATATGTAAAAGGAGAGTTGGTTCCTTAGACCAGATTCTCATCTCTCTCAAAACAGTGTAATTCCACTGACATCAGTGAAGTTACTTCTAATTTACATTAATGTCATAGAAAATCAGGATTGGAAGGGGCCTCAGGAGGGCATCTAGTCCAACCCCCTGCTCAAAGCAGGACCAATCCTCAGACAGATTTTTACCCCAGATCCCTAAATGGCCCCCTTAAGGATTGAACTCACAATGTTGGGTTTAGCAAGCCAGTGCTCAAACCACTGAGCTAGTGGTATCAGAGGCAGACGTATGCTGAGCAAAACATTTTTAAGCCTGCCAGATGTTGCATGAAACATTTATTTTTCAGTGTTTATTTTGTGGAAGTATAAAATAACATTTCTAATAAAATTAAGTGCTTGTTTCATTTTGCTGCCCCGCCCCTTTTTTTTAAAGTAAACCACTTTATGAATAGTCAGAAAAAATAAGAGCCGCAAGTGAATTTATTTTTCTGTACAAAGTTTTACTTTCATCTGATTTAAAACTAAAATGGGAGATTAATTTAATCTGATTTTCATCATCTGTAGGTGTGACTGGATTGGAAAGACCCTGGTTTCTGCATCTCTGATATGTCTTGACATTTCCCAAATGAGTCCATAAAGAGTGCACAGATTATGAATGTTGCTGGTACTTTTGAAATCTACTAAGGATATGGCAGCAAAAGTATATGATCCAAAAGGAACGAGGAATGGGGAGACTGGTTATGTCCTGATTGCTTTAATGCTAATAATATGTATTTTCAGTAATTAATGTTTTGTCTAGTTTTCTAGTTTTTACCCTGAAAATCACCCTTTAGCCACTGTTGATTTATACTTGAATCACATCTTTTAACCTTTACTTGCACCACAGGGAGTCACTTCATTCCCTTTCCAATCTTTCACCTGAGTAGAACTGATCTTTTTTTGACTGATACAGAATGACAGCCCGTTAGAGTTGGCAGACTTTTATGCATTTAAACTGTTTAGTACAATTTTCCAGGATCAGACCTCCTGAGATTCATTGTGTCATCATTTGTCTTGCACATAATATATTTCAGAACAACGTCCTCTTTAAATTGTGCTACAAAGAGCAGTTTTCAACCTGTGGGCTGAGATGTGAAGAGACTCACCAGCTGTTTTCTGAAAAGTCATGATATTGCTAGCATTACCTGTCTCCAGTCTTCTGCACAGGTGGGCTTTCTCAGCTGTTTGCAACCAGCACATCAGATAGAGGCTGGTCAGACAGAGGATGTTAGAAGTACCCCCTCCATTACTGCTTCCCTTGAGGTGCTGCAGGAATTGGTGCCTCTTTAAAACAACCCAGCTCATGCTTCCTTTGAAATTAAAGACAAAACTCCCATTGAACTCAATGGGAGCAGAATGGATCCACATTCCTTATTTTATCTCTGAAGGATCTGCATTTGAGTTACTTTTAGGATGCCAAAAATAAAGGACGGGGTGAAAATACTATGCTTCTGGTCAAGAACTTATTTCCTTTTTGATGTAAGGACTGAGTCTACAAAACATCTGTGAATTCAGTCTGCTGCTGCTGCTAGAGGTAGTCTGGGCACTGGAATTGTTTGAGAAGCATATATCACCCATCCATCTTGCCTTGATCACCAGTTTTAATTCTCAGATCCTGTTATCACTTCATAAGATGAGAAAGTGAAGATGTTAGTTGGAAAAACAGAACATCAACCCAATACAGACAGTCCTCAGACTTACAACACAATTGGTTCCTTACAATTGCGTCACAAGTTGGAACATCGTAACTCGGAACTGCAATCTACTCCATTGCGGGACCGAGCATTGTAAATTCAAAACCTATAGTCGTAAGTTGAATCTGGGTGTCAATGTAGAAGTGTCATAAGTGCCATTTGTTGTGACTTGAACATCATAAAATCAAGGACTGCCTGTATTGCCACCATGATATCCCAGAGGTGGTTGTTTTTGAACATGAAGGCTACATGGATTCATGCCAGTTAATTATAAAATAATGTTCGCTTTTGTATGAATCTTTAGGGGAGTATGAAATGTACACCACCTTTTCCTGGCTACTGCATTTGTACAGCATATTCACTTTGAGGCTATTCAGTGCCTCTGTTCTCACATTTAATCAATCATAGCTGAAAAACCTGCCCACCTGTGACCCCATGTGATGCTGCCCCTCATGGACAGAAAGGGGATTAAAAGCAGCCCTAGGGAAGCTGCGCAGGAGGCAGCCAATCAGAGAAAGGCTGAAGGGAGCAGCCAAACAGGCCCATATAAAATAGGAGCTGAAGGGCAGAGGAAGTCAGTTCTCTACTGGGAGCCCAGAGAGGAAGGACTGTGTCTCTGGAGGGCTGAGAGAACTGCTAGCACACTGGACAGAGCAGTGCTGCAAGCAGGGACCAGGGAAGCTAGAGAGAGCTCCTAGATGGCTGCTAGGGCCTGAGGTAAGGGCAGAAGAGGGTGCTGGAGCCACATGGGAAGCAGCCCCAGGATAATGGACTGCAGTTGCCACTCAGGGAAGTGGCTGGACAGAGATTGCAGGTCCCTCGGAAGGGGGAAACACAGTGTGGCACAGCCAGAGGGCAATTTCACTGAAGAGGACACCGCGGTCCAGGGAAAGACGTGGGTCCTAGAGCAGGAGTGATAGCAGCAAGGCACCACCCGAAGAGAGTGCACTAACTCGCAGTGCTAATTCCCATGACAGCCAGCAGGAGGCACCAGAGTGGTGAGCGCACCCTGTTACACCCCAGCTGCTCCTACTTCTTTCTTCCTGCAGCTACTGTTTGTATCATTTTTGGTTATTGTTGTTTTCAAAGCTGCGTTACAGAAATTTTGTTTGTTTTTTAATATTTTTAGCCTTGAAAGAGTTTGTATTTTTCCTGGACTAGCAATTTGCTCTGTTGTACTAAGTCCAACAGAAAGTTCCT